GCAATTTGTGAGCCTCACTATGATGTTACAGCCCATGTCTAATCATGTTTTAACTGATAAACAAGTATCTTCACAAAAGCTCCGCAGCATTGTTTCTACTTCAAAATACCACAAGGCTGTCATGTCTAAAGAGCATCATTCTTTTTTAATAGCTTCCCATGATCTATCTGGTGTACAAGAATGAAGGTATCCCATCACTCATTTACGCTATCCAATTCCAGAAAAACATAGACACTGTGTCCAGTGACTTGGTCAGTATGTATTCGTATGGAATAGCATGAATTCTAACTTAATGTCTCAGCTTCTTGAGGTATGCAGTGGATAAGTAAATACATCATACAAGCAGTTTGTCTACTTTAGCTGCTTTTTCAGATGAATGTCCTTCTTTGTTATGCTGTGTACCATTGCCTGGGAGATATAAAGCTTTTGTTACTGACCTTTGTCTTTCTAGATTTTCATCTGTTACCTTGCTTACTTTAATGGGGGTAAGACTTGTTGCAGATCTCTTTCTTGATGATCATGGTACTTTTAGTTGGTTCATATTTTGTTTTACATATTTGTTTTACAGTGCCATCAAGTAGAAGGGATATATATATATATATCTGTCTCAGGGATTATAAATCCTTGACTTGAACACTCCTTTTTGATCTGAGTGTATGAATATTTTGCATCAGAAAGAGCTCTTAAACATCATTCCCAAAAGCAATAAAGTGTAGTAGCGTCACCCTCTCTACTAAATGCCAAACAATGTGAAATTTATTTCTGATGTATTTCATTCAACCACAACTTTATAATTAGCTCGTGGAAATCACGGGATTTTCTGATTTAAATATTCAAAACTGCTTTGATATAATATAAATATTTCATTGAAATACTTTAAAAATGTCATAATCCAATTGTTCACTACACAATGGCACCATCTATGGGTATGTCTTCTCCAACACTACTAACAAATATTCACCATACTAGAAAGTTTTAAGAGGAAGGCAATAAATAAACACTTTAGATCTGTATTTGTTTCTTTGAAATCAGAATAAATTTTTGGAGTTTTGAACACTATTGCACAGTGCTCTACATATTTTTTCTCTCTATTTTCACTTTATAGATATACAAGACTTCGTGTATGTAGGCTTCATGTACCGTTAACCCAATCTGCACCACATAGCTACAAATAAATACTACCATGCATACTTTTTAGTAACTTACTTAGCTTTATAGCAGTCTTTCAGGTAAAACATGGAACTGAAAATTCTCCATTAAAAATGTCTGCATGTGTGTTGAAGTTTAGTTCATCTCACCACAAAAAATCTAAATAATAATGAAAGGTTCTGAATCTAGAGCTCTAGATATATTCGAGACTGTCAACATTCTGTTAACTGCTAACATCCTAGCAATCTCTATCATCAATTTCCACAAAGTAAATTAATGTAGAGTAAATAACATGTACTATTCTGCAAATATTTCACTGTGAAATTATACCCAATAGCTAATATAGTTAGGGTCTCAACTCCCTTGAAATGTTTAGATGTTTTCATATTCCTAGTGGTCAACACCTCTCATACAAATTGTTGATGTTCTAGGCATTTCATTTGCTATCATTAGATAAATAGATATACAAACATGGTGCATAATTTCTTCATTTTATTACCAAGTAGCTCAGAAATAAAGAGCAAGCTGCTAACCAAGTACACATTTTTGAATACGATGTGATGGAACCATCCTTAACATTACAACTATCTTCAGTTATTTCTGCGTTGCTTACCATGCAACTAATTGACCATAATTGCAGAACAAAACCTTATCTTCATTCTTCTTTGGACAGACTGCTTGTCAAGCTAATGCTGATAGCTTTTAGAACACGAACTAACTTATTTCATGTGTGACTTCTATATCCATATTACATGGCACAAATGCCCTAGACTTCATCTAGGGTGAACCATGGAACACCCCTGGGTCTGATCAGATTGGTATGGGATATCTCCCCCATGGAATATCACTTGACTGGTAGCTCATGTGAAATTGACTAATAAGCCTGTACATTCTTCTTAAGGATGCTGATGCTAGAAATGAGGTCAACAATGACTACTTTCTTTCTGTGTGAAATAGCTCCTCGACTGATAGAAAGTCATTTTGTTTACTTGCCCAGTAAGTGGTTTTACTCATTGTATCAGATATGTTGCGAGATCTACCAGTGTTCTGGCCACTGTTTTATGAGCCAGGAATCTCTCTCTCTTGCACTTTTCCCTGACAGGTATGTATTAAAACCAATCCAGCCCTGGGAGAACTGGGATGACTACAAAACCTTTTGGTAGAAGTTGTCCATTGGGACCAACGTAGGCTCCATTAGTTTCTCGAACTTTAGTGCCATTATTTATTACCTTTTGTTGGCTCTAATACACCTGCTCAGCTGTTGTTAAAACTGACACTTTTGTATACCTTGGTACTCAACAAAGTACAAGCAGTTCACTCAAAATTGACTGTACTCTACACAGACAAAGTAAATACTTTGCTCCTCTTTTCCAGGATAATGTCCTGGTAGAAGCATAGCTGACATAGGCTAAACCATTGGAAGACTGGGATAGTTCTGTCTATTTCCTGAATACGAGTGTGATTATATTCCAGTAACAGAATGTGTAGATGATTGGTTAGCCTTTAGCTGGGCTTAAGAATGGCATGATGTGGGAGCCTCAGTGTGATGGTCTGTTCAAGATATAGTCATTCCAGGCCAGTTTGAAGTTACCACTTTGTGTTGCATTACTATAAAAACTGCTTACTGATTCACTGGATAACCCTTCCAAAACTTGTCCTTGTGATCTGTCAAAGGTATTGTAAGTAAGCCTTACCATGTACACAGTGCAAACCATTCAAGCAGGCAGCCAAACTCTTTGTGACATCCTTCTTCACATCCTTGAAGTCGGTCCAATCGATTGTTTGATTTTCCATAGCTTGACTCTGGTGCAACTTAGCATTAGCTGTTTTAGAGTTCCAAAGTTGCACATTTCTCACCATCAGCCATTGCACAGTCTGTTATGGAGACTAACAATTCCAAACAGTTATCTTTGTAAAATGCTTCAAGAAATTGTCTCAGTTTTCCTGTTCTACACTTTTTGAATGTTGGAGGGGGGGGGTGATCTGTTTACTTCATTCACACAGAACTACAGTCTGGGGCAGAACTTTTCCTTTACAGTTTCTTGGTTGTCAACTGGCCAAGATGTCATTGAATTCATGAGTACAGAATGGTGGTGACTTCGACTTTTCTGCAAGTGGTCAATCCAGAGTCCAGGGGGAAGAGCAGTAAGTTTATATTGGAAAATGTTCAGTTGACTCTGTGAAACCTAAGCTTGGGTACCTATGTCATAGAAAGCTACACAACTGCCTCACCATTCACCTCCTTCACTATTAGGTGCCCACTGTCTTATCTGTAAATAAGACAGCTCTTGTTGATGAGTGTTACTAACCAAGATTACTTACAATCTCTTCTCAGTATTTTAGGTGACTTCAATCAGAGCTGGGGTTGTGTTATTGTGGCTGGTGAGGGTTTGGGATTGGTATATGGACCACCCACTCAGTTTGAAACTTACCAGGTGTGGCACCACTACAATGATCCTTGATCATCTGTGTTTCCCTCACACTATGACTGATCCTCAGGGAAGAGCATGAGCAGTTATGTTGAGTATACCGGACATTGACAGCTACCCTTCCAGAGTGTTTGACTTCAGTAAGATGGAAATCACTGACCTTTGCAGCATTGTCTAGGAAACAATTTCTTCCAGACATGACAACTCTCTCAAAGAACCAACTCCATCCATTGACTAATCCTTCCTCTTGGTTATAAATTGTTTGGGTTGTGGAAAATTCCATTTCTTTAACAAGAAATAGTTTTTAATTTAAATACAAGAGTAGGAGTTAAGTGCAGTATACAAGTCTCTCAGAAAATGGAAAACCCCACAATAAGATACCATGGCACCAAAATTACTTCTTTCCTATCTACTCTAGGATGTAATGAGGTCAAACTATTTATCCTAAGGTATCTAATATCTTTGGATAAATTAGTTCATGAGAAAATATAAAAAACATAGAGACTGTACACAATGTAAAATACAAATGAGCAACCTTTATTATAACAAAAACAGAGAGTGTGTACTTATACTTTTTACTGTTCTTTTCTTCCCAATCTGTAAAGATCAATATCATATATCAAATTCTCCCCATCAAAAGTACATACCTGACTGTTTACATCTAGCATTCCTGACTTGAAGATATACACAGAGCAACTAGTACTGCCCAAGTTTTCATTCAAACTTAATGGAGATTGTAACTTTAAAATATTACCTGGCCGACAAGTGGAGGATACCTGTATACATATGTGCAACACTACAGCCACACTCATCATGGGTATAGTAGGTTTAGGTTTCAGTTACAGAGAATGACAAAGGAGTAAAGGCAGTTAGATTGAAATCGACTCTTTTGACCATGTATTGTGTTAAAATTTCACATGAAGAAGCATTAGAAAACTTCGAAAAATACTGTAAAAAAATAAGGTAATAAAAGCATGGTATGTTTATATATCACAGCAGGATGAATGCAGTACAATGTATATAACCATGCCCCTGACTGGCTACAGACAATGAGCAATATCATGACTCAAGACGTTACGCGAATCCCCTTTCTGTTTCTCTGTTGTACTGTCTATTGGTTTTTCACCAGCATTTAGCAAATATTGGTGAGCCAGCTAGGACAACCTCAATACTTTATGAGCGCTATTCCTGCAACATTTACTTATTTATATTCATATATATTACATATCTATATAAGCTTTACACTGTGTACTCTACAGTATATTCTTTACACTTTACACAAATAAAACGAACGGAAGTAGACATATGCTTAAACAATTGCCTACAAAAAAATCACACGAAGTTTTTCTTTTGAAACAATTAAACTACTTGAGTATCACATGTATCTACCTGGAAAATAATAATAATAATATACTTTCTTACCAGTTTCTGGAAGCTGTTATCAATCACCTTTTGACGTCAAAAAGTTCCAATGTTTTACAGTGAAAATAGTCTTTTTTTTTAGATCATTCTCTTTACGTATGTTTTTAATGATGTTTAATCCCACGATTTATGGCAAAGTGCAAGTAACTTAAAATTTTACACAAAAATCGTTTCACCTAAGGAGAATTCAAACCGGACTTCAGGTATTGTATGCGCACGTATTATCGCTTATCGTCTTATTTCGAAACTCCTTCTTAATCGACAAAATGATAACATTTTCATGTAAAAGTGGACCTTACCCTCTTTATCTTATCTTAAAGATAATAACGGTTAAAGTAGAGGAATGTTTTTCATATAATACATTTCATGGGGTTACATGTAAAATATTTCAGCAAGGGATAATGTATGAAAATTTTATTTTATGTTAAATTTGCATTTTGATGTTTTTAATAAAATCATATCTTTACTTGGATTAAAAACAAACAAATTAGCAAAAAGTAGTAGCAGCAAATATGACATTCGAAATATATGCCAACCAGACAATCTCATTTATATTTCCTTGTGTTGACATTATATTTATTACGCCATGGTTCTGTTTGTTATTCTTAAGATAATAATGTCAAAGAGAAAAAAAATATATATCAGTAATGTTATGATATTTGATATTATTACGTCTCGGTTCGTTAGTTAATTTTCCGTAAATTCGTTCCGACGAAACTTTAGCGACACAAGTCCTTTCTTAAATAAAACTGGTTTATTCTTTCGGAATACAACTTTACGACACACTTAATTTCAACAGTCGCTCTGTAACAAACGCTATAATTCTCAACGAACTTCTCACGTGCTTAACAATATTCTCTCTGACTGCAGTTCGTGGCCGGTCGAATATATACAAGACTACACTATATATAGAAGAATGACGAGATTTAAGGAAAAAGACTTAAATGTTCGAGAATGACGTGGCGTGATACTCATCACGTGACCTTGATGTCGTAACAACATTTTCAACCAGAACTTGCTATATTCAGACAATGAATCATATCATGATTCGAGACGTTGCGAGTTTGATCACATGTATCGCAATTTCTTTCTCTTTCTCTATTATACCATATACTGATTTTTCACCAGCATTTATCAGATATTGATGAAACAGCTAGGACAATCCTGAACGCTTTGTCAGTGCTATTCCTGCTGTATTTACAAAATTTGGTTCTTATATATTATAATATCTATGTTAGCTTTACAATGTTTACAGTATATACTTTTCACTTTATACAAATAAAATGAACATCCCCAAATTAGAACTATTCACCAACTAATAACGGAATATATTTCTTCGGTTATAACTTCCTCAGAACAAACAATTTGTTTGAGAACTTTAATTGAAAAATACCAAAGGGTTATATGTATATAGCTATCCAGAATTTTGAATTGACAGACCAGAAAAAAGGTAGTTAGGAAACAGCGCTTATACCACCAAGTTTGGAGCTGCTTTTCTTTGATCGCATTGTTACGCCTCCGGTCGTTAGTTAATTTTCAGTAAAAAATATTTCCGAAGAAACTTTACCGATACAAGTCCTTTCTTAAATAAAACTGGTTTATTCTTTCTGAATACAACTTTGCAGTACACTTAATTTCCACGGTCACGCTATAACAAACGCTATAATTCACAACTAACGACTCACGTGCTCGACTCAACAGTACGTCTCTATCTCTGTCTGCAGTTCAATTACATTACATACATACATTGTTGCCGTCAGTTCTTACCGGTCTTATATATACAAGAATACCGCATATCTAGTAACCTCTCGAGACTTCAGGAAGGGACGTGAACGTTCGAGAATTTGACGTGTTACTAGCGTCACGTGACCCCCGCTGTCGTAACAGTATAGTTGAATTTGGCTCTCATTCTTATAACACATCTTCAGTCACAAAGTACAGAGAGCGTTGTTTATTAATTTTCTTATGGGATGCATACTATGAATTCTTAGATTTACAATCTAATTACGCTAGCCTCCTGGGCCAAGGTGAAAGAGCGGACCTTATTTAGTGGTGTATGATGATTCTAGCCTTTAACCTTCGATTATATAAATCCCACTTTTGTTAATTTCAAGAGTAATTGACCTTCGTGTCACACATTTTGCCATTACGTTAATTATTAAATACTCGTGGCCGTGAGTGATCGAATAATATTACAAATAATAAAATTCCATATATTCTAAAAGTTGGTGCATTAGGCCTAACATAAAATTTGATGTACATGACAAAACTATGCCCCCCCCCCAGTGACTCAGCAGAATGTCTCTGAACTTATAACGCTAAATATCGGGTTCCGATACCCGTGGTAGACACAGCGCAAGTAGCCCATTGTTTAACTTTACGCTTAACAACAAACAAACAAGTAAAACTTTTGATCTATATACTAACTTGGATTGAGCACTGACTCTTCCACGTGAATCCACAGGTAACTATAATGTTGCCACCTTGTTGGTCTCATGTCGTAAGTTTGAGTAGCTGAAACATGGTGTGGTGTGTAGAGTTTTGAAGTTGTACTTGTAGCCTGTATCTAATGTAAAAATGTCAATATGTGTATTGCATGAAACTGAGCCGGTTCTACGTCGTTTCACTGTTTATTTTGTGTTGTTATTTCCCCGTAAATAAATTTATATGTATTAATTTGCAGCTGCTAAGATTATTAGTTTTACGTTATTACTATTAGTATTAGATACACTCATAGAGCAACCTAAAAGTAAAAATTAAATAATGTATTCACTTAAGATTTGCCTAATTTCATAATGACACTATCGTTACTTAATTGAGGCTAAATTTGAATCCTGAGCACAAATAACTTTTGCTTTTAAGCTCAAAATCATATTTTAGTTGTGTTATGATGTGGTAGTTCAATCCAATCGATTTTTTAAGCGTGTGTTTAAGTTAAAGTGACTGTGGTAATTAAGTGTATTGTTGCAAAGTTGTATTGAGAAAGAATAAACTAGTTTTATTTAAGAAAGGAACTGTATCGGCTGAAGTTTCTCGGAAAGTAATTATACGGAAAATTAACAAACGACCAGAGACGTAAGAAATTGGTGTCAGAGAGTGGGACAGAAAAAAAAAAGGAAACGAGAAATGGCAAATCAAACTACAGCTTAGCAGATTTGATGGCAGCAATACAAGAGCAGCAAAAGAAACAAGAAGAACGAGAAAAGACAGAAGAAGTCAGATTACAGCAGCTGTTGGAGGAAAAAGAAAAAGAAACAAGAAGAACGAGAAAAGACAGAAGAAGTCAGATTACAGCAGCTG